AAAAAAAAAAAAAAAAAAAAAAAAGAGAGAGAATGTTTTCAAAGAATAAGTGAAATTATGCACACAAATTGCCTTGTGAACAATAAACATTTAGAAATTACACCTATGGTCTAATATACTACTGAATGATATATTAAAATATAACATAACATTATTAAAACTTTGTGTTCCCCTCCCATTCCTTCTTCCTCCAAAAAAATCCTGGAAAATATTCAAACCTTCATTGGCTTGTTGATTAAGTACATTTACTAAAAGTTAACTATATTCTGTGTAGTGAGTAGGCAAAATGAAACACGCAAACTTGAACAGCAGATTTCTTCTAACAAAAAGCAGATTTTTGTGTAAGGAAAGGAGACAAGACATAAGAGATCTAATTATTCTTTGAAGGAAGTATCTGGTAACAATCACTGGAGGTGAACCAAGTATGCAGAAAGGGGTATAAAGACAGGTATAATTACGGATGTCAGGTGGCGCATGAGTTTGCTTTCACAAGAAATGCAGAAAAGCTAAAGATGGAGTGGCCACGCAAGTTATTCCAGGCAAGGAGGAAGTGAAGTAGAAGTAAGTTAAGGAGTGAGAATGTGAAGAACGTGGACATTGCAGATAATAAAAAATCAGGTGAACATTTGGGGAAAAGTTTAATGGAAAATATTAATTACGCTTAACTTCAAAGATAAAAACTTGAAGCTTTGGAAGAGTGAGAATTTCTCATATCTATGTAGCATCTAAATCTTATCACAGGTAAGTGGTAGATATGAAAATATAATGTGGGGATTTCTATCTCTTCTGTTCTCCTTTCCTCTTAACTTATAGGCAATAGAGAATAGGGCAACAAATGAGGACAGGAATAATTCCTTTGGCTTTAATTCCAAGCTAATGCCATTTTCTTTACATTTTTCATAGTAGTTTGTTCTGAATGATGCCTCTTCTCTCTAGACCAGGGTTATTTGGTAATCCTCAGTAAGTCTTTTGTGATGATGCCAAGATTCAGAAACAGCTCTCTTGCTGCACTTCTCTAAAGATGTGAATTAGAGAAAAACAATGCTCTATATGCTTCTGAGGCATTGTTTCACAATCACTGTTTCATTCCAGTAAACCAGGCATGACTGCCTAAAATTGAAAAAAAAAAAAAGAAATGAAGGTTTCAGGCAGGTAGCACATACTATTTAAGATGAGCCTGGAAAGAAAACCTGCTCTGAAGCCTCGCCCTCCTTCTACTCTGTCATGATCTTTGGGAATTTCTAACAGAGGAACGTACTTTAATGATCCAAATGGGTGGAAGCATATGGGTTGTTTGGTGGATGAAAGAGGGGCACATTCCGGTCTTTCAGGAAGATAATATTTCACCAGCATATTTAGTGGATTAAAAATCCAATCAGAATTAAGAAACATATCAGAAAACTGAAAGACAGTTATAAGTTTATCTCTCAGAGAGGCAGCATGAACTGAGACCGATGTATCATTACTCTGGTCCAACTTCACATGGCACAGCCTACGGACTTAGTCCTCAGCTGTCACATATTTTAATAGATAAAAATCACTTATTTTATGTCCAGGATGAGAAAATGAGCCCTTCTACTATTTTAAACTCTTGTCCTCTGAGACCTGTGATTTATTTACTCTCTCCAAAGTGCCTAGCAAAGTCCAAAGGTGATAGATAGGACATTCCTCACTTGAAATTCACCACGGTCATGTCCACATTAGGCATGAATATGCACATTCATGTTTGCTTTGGGTGGAGAGATAGATTTTCTCATGGTATCTCAAAATACACTGGGCTTGACTCTCTGATGATTTCTATTATTTAGCTTCCATGAAACTTCCACAGAAAATCAAAGCAAAATTCAGAAGGGAAAAACGAGAGAAAAAAATTCTTGGGGTTGTTGTTCCTGTGGCCCAAATGTCACCACATCAGCAGGTCATTTTGGTCCCGCAGCTTATTCTGCACAGGGGAAGTGGGCTGTCTCATCCTGTTGCAGCAGGGTGGCTGGCTAAAGCTGTGGGAGTCCACTTACATGAGGAGCATACCCTGCCAGGAAGCAAAGTAGTAATTTTGCTGCCATGGAGGATATAAGACTGTTTTACAAGATCAGGGGTAATGTACAGCCAAGGTTTGAAGGTGGCAGCCCAGCGAGACAACCTGGCCTTGAGGAGAGAGATTGTGATAAGCGGCAGACAAGAAAAGAGAGAAATCAGAGGAAAGGCTCCTAGATTCCAGGAGCATGAAAGGAACCCAAATCGGACAGAATCATTTTCTGAGCAAGGCTCACTATTTTAGAGATAAGAGCATGTTGGGATGAAATAAGCACTGACATTGACCCCTGGGTAATACTGGTAGCAGTGTGACCATAGCAAGGCATTTTCCCTTTCTGAAACCCAGCCAGCTCACTTGTCAGTTGATGCATGAAACATCTCTTTGAAGACTAACCTAGACTGCTGTATGATTTCAGTAGAGCAGAAAATGTCTGTAACGAGAGAAAAGCATGTGCAACAATTTCAGAGTTAGTAAATGGATCACTCGGGGGAAACAATGAGTAGAGATGAGTAGAGAAGCTCTGACCGGAAAGTAGAAGGCTTGCAAGAGAAAACTTCCGGGAGAAGAGGGAGACATATTTCAAGGCATGAGCGATCACCTCCCTCAACGTAAGGCTCTTTATACGCTTGGGTACTGGCCTGTGATATTCCTTAGATCTTTGCTCTTTGTCTACGATTTCAACTTCTTTACATTGTATGACTAAGAAGATAGAAGCCAGTAACATTTCCAGAAGAATAGTGTCAACGAGCTGAACTGCAGTTTTCTTATACTAATTGTTCACATACTCCAAATTGGGATCGGTGCCCCAGTGCCGCATGATTTCCCTCATCTACTTCCCTAGGGCTTGTTCATTCATAACTACAGGGTAAATGTACCTTTGCATCCCAGTTAGCCTTTTCCTGAGGCACAGAACATGCTTGATATCCATTAATGGTGTACTGAATTTAGGATGTCAGGTGGAAGCAAAGCACTTTTTAAAAAAATGTATTTTGACCCTTTTTTGGACAAGCAGCACCATCAAATGCTATCAATAATTTTCTGATGTTTTACTTTACACATTAAGTAGTTAGTTATAACTATGTGGCAGAGGTGAAAAAAGAACAGACTAATTACTGATCTCTATTCTTTTTCCTTCGCTGATCTGTACCTATTTTTCCACAGCGCTCCGATTCCAAGTATCATGTGAAGAAAAGAATCACCTCCCTGACTTTGCCAATCATCCCATCCACTGAGGCCAGCAAAGTTCTCATGGAAGGACCCAATTTTCAGTCAACGCCCGTCACACCCCCACCTGTCTCACCAGGCTTTGGTGACACCAGTAAAATAGACAAGTATTCTCGAATTCTATTCCCGGTTGCATTTGCAGGATTCAACCTTGTATACTGGATAGTTTACCTGTCCAAAGACACAATGGAAGTGAGTAGCAGTGTTGAATAGCTTGCAGCTACGGCAACCTGTATTCTACAAGTTCTTCTTTTCTGTTTTAAAGAATAGCACTGAGACTTGCATAGATATAAAGTCAAAATTGAAAATCTGTAACTCATAGCTTTGAGTGAGCACGTATTGGACAAAAAGCAATAATGCTACCCTTCAAACCTGAGAGCAAAAATTGTTGAAAATAATGTAATTTTTCTGCACTTTAGAGAGAATTTAGAAAGAGGATGAGATAGATTCGGGAAGTATTTGCCACGCTTTGTCTATCACTGTTCAATATTTTTAATTGTCACTGTGAATGACATTTACAAGGCAGATAAAGTAAGAAATGCTAACACTTCAAAATGTTACCTTAAATGTTTATTTTGGCTTAGGTTCCAGGGAGCAAAATATAAATACAGTCCAAATATTTATCAGTAGCTTTATGCAAGCATGTTGGAAGACTTTACACTAGCAAAATGTCTTTCAGTAGCATTGTAAAGCTTATATTGAATTTAGACATTTGCTTTTAACCTAACTGTGCTCTTTTACCTCAAAGAAGTATGCTGTTGTATACATATAAATTATACAGAGATCATAAATTATGTATGCATATGTACTTAGCTTTAGTTATACTGTAATACCGTGTTGTTTTATCTCACCAAGACCTCCTTTTAAAGCAATATGTTTATCGTAATTACATGAGGTTGTAGAAAAGGTAATTTTAAGGAAGACTTGTATATTATGATTATAATTATCTCGCACATATCCCCCCTCCCTAAATACAACGCAAAATAAAACAAAAATAAACATGTTTCTCCGGATCTGATCCTTAACACCAGGGGTAAGAGTTTTCTTAGGTGTTCAAAGATGAACTGTTTATTTCTAGACCAAGAGTAGTGGACTTGGAGATTCTATGAGGTAGGAGATATGACACCCAGCTCTGAAAAGACTCATGTTCATCTTGAAAAATGTCGATTCTTCTTTTCCTCTACTCAGTCTGCCATGAGACGAGGCACTCTTCTCCCTTTCTCCTATACTACTTCTTTGGATGCTTCTTTTAACTCTTGTTCTTGTTCAAATTGTGACTGGGAAGCACGAGCTGGAAGTATCAGAAAACATGCAGTACAGTCCGTCCGAATGGACAAACCCTTCATGGTTGGGACTAAAACATTGTGAGATCGCTCCACAAGCTCAGAGTCCAGAAAGAAATATTTTGAGACCGCAGTTTTTGCCACTGTCTCAGAAAATGTGAACTCATTACAGAGAGGTAACTTCATTGAATCGAGAGCTTGTATGGGACCAAAAGCAATAATGCTACCCTTCAAAACTGAGAGTAAAAATTGCTGAAAATGACATAATTTGTCTGCACGGAAGAGAATTTACTAAAATTGCAGAGGCTGAGACTGGGATCCAACCTCTCTTTCAGCTCCTTTTGCAAGGATCTCAACCCTGTAGGAGACTCGCCTCCGTTCTCTCTTACAGAAGGGTGCAGTCGATCGTATCTCTTGAACGGCCCTTCCATTTTGAACAACTTATATTTTTTAAAACTGTTCTTTCCTTTGTAAATCAATTTGGTGTAATTACACAGGGCATGCTTTTATTTTAGGGAGTGTAATAAATAATGAAGTGTAGGTGTTCATCTTTTTATATGCTACATCACATTCAATCTTCCTTCCATTTCCAGAAAGTACAGACTGCTATTTTCTTCATATAGAAATAAGGAAACAAAGGCACAGAGAAAATGAAGACACTGGTTTGAAATCATATGGCACAGAAGTGCTACAGCTGAGAACCCTACCCAGGCATTGTGAATTCGTAACTCCTTCACTCAAACTTAATTACACCTGTTCTCACCTAACATACTATGACTGTACACTCTCACCCCCTCCACTACCCTCTCCTCCTTTATTTCACTACTTCTTATAAGTTTGCCGCTATTCTGCCACGTCCCTGCCCAACATTCATTCCATAGCATTTTACCCACTCTCTCAGCACTGAGGGAGGGATGGAATGGATAAATGAAACCACTTAAAATAAGTATCAGCATTAGGTTTCTCCCTAATGAAATAATCTTGGAAAATTCATGAAACTTAAAAATGTGTGACTTTTTTCAGAATTCTAGAGAAGGTCATTTTTCAGAGTATGTCATGAGATGGGAGCAGAGGCAAACAATGTCAAAGTTTCCCTCCTCTGATAATTTAGGGAGAGATGTTGAGTCAGAGAAGTTTCTTTTCTGCCAGGCTCCCTACTGCCTTTATTATGATATATTTACATACACTGAATCTTTAACAGTTTGTTAGAGTACCACAATATTTCTACACCCATATTACTATATCTTTTATCATATAATTTTACGCTAATAACATATATCAAATTACTATATCAAAAAGAAATCTTAGCAGTACCATTCACCAGAAAATAATTGGGAAATACCGTACTAGATAGTATTTATACTGTTACCCTCTACTGCACTCTAGTTAAAAAGATAAAGGACTGAATCTCTTAATGGGGACACGACTTACTCCAGTCCTCAGATACCAAATTGTGACTTTAAAATAGAATCTATGCTAGGTACTGCAGTAGAAGGAATTTAAAAGAGAAAGGGCTATAGTTAAGTAAACAACATGGATAAGGTAACTGTAAGAAGTAGACATGAAAGGGAGATTAATTTAACACGATATAGACATTTGGACAAAAGGACTTAGAGTGACTGTCATCTGGGGGAAGGACACCACCTGGACAGTGTTGGTAGCTCAGATCCTAGACCAGAAAACTCCCAGAGCCAGGAATTTCACCCTAAAGGACAGGAGGCCACTAGCTGATCTGGTAGGTCAGATCACGAAAGGAGGGGCTTTCCAGAGCAGAGGTTTAGAACCACTGCTGTTACATTCTCAGAGTTCAGAGGAGAACTCTTGCACGTGTGGGATCAGGCTCTGGAAGATGAGATGTTTGGCTGAAACTGAGAGCCCTGGCTCGAGAGAACAGGGCTGGCTCTTAGAGGGCAAACACCTGGAAGATGGAACCAACTGTGTCCCAGGAGGAAAGCGTCATCGGATAGCAAAACGTGTCAATGAAAAGGATCAAACACTGTTCTTTCCTTGTAACTTCATCTACACAACTGAAAAGAAAGCCTCGTGGCAGAGCAGAAGTAAAAGTTACAGTTTCAGCCCAGCATAACAAAATGGAAGAGAAGGTTGGTTATGGCATTGGCAGACATAATAATTTATTATTATTATTATTATTATTATTATTATTATTATTATTATTATTATTATTTTGGTACCAGGAATGAAACACGGGACCTTGCACTTGCGAGGCAGGTGGGGGAACCACTGAGCTAAATCTCTGGCCCTTGCATAATTATTAACTAGCATATTTAACCCTCTAGTTATTCAGTACCATATGTAGATATACTTCTGTACACATTTATACTTCTTCACAGTCATAAAGCATGATTAATCCTCACATGAACAAAATTACTCATCATTTTTCCCAAAAGGAAATACTTAAAATCCTAAAAGTCACTGTATCTACCTCTATACAACTATCACATTTCTGAGTGATGCTACTTATTCTCCTAATAGAATCATGGTCTTACCTTATCACTCTGTTTATTAAAGATTCATTACTTATCAAAGGTTATCCATTTAAAAAAATACTTAATATAAGAGGTTTTTTCCCACATTGGGGGTTCTCTTCACTCTGTTGGTTTCTCTGGCTGTGCAGAAGCTTTTTTAAAAATTAATTTTATTTCTCCATTTTAGGTACATAATATGATGAAATTCATTATTGGGGTTTATACCTTTCCATGATTTATCTTGGTTCTTATTTTTCCCCCATTCCCCTGCCCTCTGTTCAACCCCTCCACCTCTCCCTATTTACAAAGATTTTGTTTTCATTTTTTTCCCTTTCTCATATTTATTTCTTTCCCTTCTTTCCTTTCCCCTACCCCTTCAACTTCCCCTTCTCATTTGGACCTTTTCTTTCTATTTCACATTACCTATTATACATTTTGATCTTTATTTACATTTTCTGTTTCCTACACCAATGTCTTTAAGAGTTCCACCTAACTTCTTTTCCAGATGGTTTAGCATTTCTGTTTTAATATTTACATCTGTAATTCACTTGGATTTTAGTATAGTGCATGGTGAGAGACATAGGTCTAGCTTTAATCTTTGGCAGGTTGAAAGCCAATTTTTCCAGCACCATTTATTAAAGAGGCTATCTTCCCTAGAGTGAGGGTGTTTGTCTCCTTTGTCAAAAATCAGGTGGTTGAGTGTGTCTGGAGTTGTTTCTGCATCTTCTGATCTGCTCCATTGGTCCTGAGGTCTGTTTCTTTGACAGTACCATGCTGTTTTTATTCACAGTAGCTTTGTAAATAGTTTCAAGTTGGGGACTGTGATGCCCCCTACCTTGTCTTTGTTGCCTACAATTGCTTTTACTATTCTAGGTCTTTTCTTGGTTCCAAATGAATTTTTGGATTGTTTTCTAAAACTCTGTGAAATACATTGCTAGAATTTCAATTGGAATTGCATTGAATCTTTATAGCAGTTTTGGAAGTATGGTCATTTTTGCTATATTTGTTCTTCACAATCTAGAATATATAAATACTTTTTAAAAATCAAACCTCCAAAATTTAAAGACAAAATCCCAAAATAGGCACCTAAAATGAACAGATTTCTCAGTCAAAGTAGAAACAGCCAATAAACATATGAAAAACTGTTCAACATCACTGGTCATTCAAGAGATGCAAATCAAAATAATGCTGAGATTCCACCTTACTCCAGGAAGAATGGTCGCTATCAGGAAGTTAACCAATAACAAATACTGGCAGGACTATGGGGAAAAGGCACTCTTCTCCACTGTTGGTAGGAGTGTAGACTGGTATAACCATTGTAGAAATCAGTGTGGAGATATCTCAAAAAACTAAGACCAAAGGTCCCATTTGACCCAGCTATTCTCCTGCTGGGTATCATCCCAAAAGATTTAAAAGAATTACACCACAGTGATATATGTGCATC